AGTAGCGATTCTTCTTAGAAACTTTTTAGTTTAGGTTATCATGAGGTGTCTCCGGATGCCACAAGTCCTTTTGGTGCTTTTTTGTGATATCCTACCTTTGTGTAAAATAAAATTTCAATTTCAATTTTGATGTTGGATATATTCAGTTGCACTTATAGCTGCGGTACAAGAGAAAGACAGCAGAAACAAACGGTACTCCATACGATGATGAAAATTGAAAGTTTATTCAGCAATTATTGCCTATCATACAAATTTTATTTATGTATGTTATGTAGTTGATATGCATTTTCTATTCGACTTTCTAAAGTTCGAAAACATTGATTTATTGATAGATATAGCAAAAATCTTGTATCAATATCGTCTCCGTCCAGCAATTCGTCTCATGCTAATACATCTTCAAATGTACTGAACGACGCGTTAACAAAAGCTACAGCGGCAAAGACAACTCTTCTACGCTTTGCACCACATCAAGTTTTATCGCAACCCGGATAGCAGCAGCGAATGTTATCCTAACTAACACAACCGCGTGAATCTTCTCGATCAACTGATAAGTCGAACCGATTCTCAGCGTCGTAAAGCACCTCTAGCTCGAAGAACCGATAATACTTTAACAACCGATCCACAAAATAATCGGTCTAAAGCAGCAGCGTCTCCTACAATGGGAGCTTATAAAACATCAAGCACATGAAAACAAATAGGAAAACATGATCTTACCCAGTTTTATGTAGAAAGCTCTCACCCTAGTGGATGTACTGAATGCAGGGTACCCGAAAAAGTACCTTGCTACCAGTATGTCACAGGAACTTTTAGGTACTTAAGTACCTAAAGGTACTTTCGGGGACTTGTCAGGTACCTGAACGGGTACCCTGCTGAAATATATGCAGTAATTGGGTACTTAAAGGTACTACTCAGGTACTCGCTTAGGTACTGGTATACAATGCTTCAAGGTACCCTGCTGAAAAAATCACAGTATGTTCACGATCGAACCTTACCGTCGTCATCTCTTGCATACATTTTTTTATCATAGTATGTCTCGAAAATTTAAATCTGATTATTTCTTATTATTCAAGTTTTTATATAAATAAGATGATGAGGTTTGCGCTTTTTCGGGAATTGATTAAGCAGAATTAATAACGCGATGAGGAAACAAAAATTATGGCTTTTAAACACCATATCAAATTTAGACAAAAAGAGCGTTGGATTGAGTTTCGAAAATAAAAAATATTTCTTTAATAGAAAAAGAGACATTTTGAGCTACAGATCTGAATGAGTACAACGACGAGAAAAAAGTCAAAAATATACGATGTGCTAATCAGTTAACGAAAAAGATAATGAAAGTTACGAAATTATTAATCTAAATTTTGCTGACTTTACAAATGGAATATCTGGTTTTTATTCACCTATTTTACAAAAAGGCGAGGAGAAAAAAATACAAAATAATTAAAACATCACACAAAATAATCAAAACAAAACTGTTTCATAATGGAACATGTAAAACAAAAGAATAATAAAATCAAAATGTATTGCTTACATTTTAGTTTTTAATGGCCTCTGAATGTTCATATCGACTTTAAAGATCCGAATCTCTTTGATCACCAGCATCCATTACTGTTCCAGTAACATTTGTTGGTACTGTTATTATCGGCGCTTGCTGATTATTTGAAGAATTTGCTATATGTCGTGCTACTTTTGTTCTCATATTTTTTTTCATGTCGTTTGCTAATGAGGCCATTGATTTAACAATTTCTTGCCATGTTTGAGCCATATTAACGACTCCTGGACAACGTGATTGTATAAATGCTAAACAAGAAGATGACAGTGAGAATCTTTTACAGAATTCTCTTCATTTACCTTTTAATAAATTGGCATTCTTGTCCAAGTATTGTCGATAGTCGGCTACATGGTTAGATATCGTAAATAAATGTCGAATAATGATAGTAGGTCGTTCCCGTGGGCCTTTCACCTCACTTGATTCTACACCAAAAATTTCCTAAGCAACAAAAAACGTTATTAGTTTACTTAGTATGTGTATAAATCATGTCAGATTAGTGCCGTTTTATAAGACAGACATAGATTTATTTTTTTATACTTGAGTCACTGCCGAGTGGAACGGCGAAACTTGCTCAATCGATGTTTGAGTTTTGGGCTCAGGATTTTATTGTAGGTAGAGACAACATATATCGGAAGATTCCCAAAGTTTTTCATTCGGACTTACTTCGTTAAAAAGTTATAGAGCTTTTCGTAAAAGCCCTAAAAATAGCCTAAAACGATATTTGTATAACAGTCAAATTTGTGATGTTTATATCTTGGTCTAGAAAGTTGATTAAGAGCTCATATTTGCAGTATAAGTAGTTGAGGCCGAATACTATCTATAACCAAGAGCATATGCAAAAATAAGTTTTATATATGTGCGAACATATGCGCACAAGATGGTAGAATTTGGCTGAGACAAACAGTTTCGCATATTGTTTTTTAACGTAAAAGCTTTCTTATTGCATTGAGTGTTACTTCGATCCAGTGTACAAGTACACCGGTACCATGAGTTATGAAATCGATCCATACAAGTCTCTTGGTTGATGCACGACTGAGCTCGAAAGTCGATAGAAAACGAAAAATTTCTGATTCTTTCCCGATGGCTCTTGGAGACCCGGTTTTCTGAAGAACCATTTTTTCAGAAACCCTAAAAAATAACCACAACTTTTCTTAATGAGGCATGATTGTAGTCCACAAATTTCTGATTAAAATGAGACATCTTCCAGCTCTACATGACCTTTCTGTGCAAAGTTATAGAATTTACAAGAAAAGCCATAAATTAATGCTTTCCTTCTTATTTCTGTAGCTTTGAGCTGAGAATGAACATTTATGGCTTTTCTTGTAAATTCTATAACTTTGCACAGAAAGGTCATG